GCCCCCGGTCTGAACCGCCGCGTGGTGTGCTGGCCACCAAGGCGGGGCGGGGCGGGGCGGGGGCTGGCGGGAGCCGGGTTCCACCTGGGGCTCCAGTTCACGTCCATCTCAGAGGCCGGGGACAAGGTCGGCTGGACCTGGGGATCCGGAGTTCAGGACCAGGGTCAGTCCGGGGGCACAGATGTGCGCTCCTTGGGTTGTGGAAGATGTCTAAAGCTCTGTTCTAAGAGAACCCTGGCTCTCAAGGATGCCTGGCTTTCCTGAGAGAGCCCTGTGCATGCATTTTGGTGGAAAATGTCTTGCTTTTTATTGAATTGATTGGGGTGACATTGGCTAATAGAATTATAGGTTTCAGGTGTACAGTTCTACAATGTATCATCTGTATATTGTATTATGTGTTCAAGTCTCCCTCCGTCACCATTTATTCCCCTATAATCTCTACTACCTCCGCCCCCACCCTGGATTCTGTTTCATACTGTCCACATCATTCATTCTCTGCTTCCTGAGCCCTGGAAGGGTTTTAGGAATGAGACCTGCTCCTGCCCTCAGTGAGTCTTCCATCTAATCTGAGAAACAGGTGTGTGAATAATTAGTTCGAATGCAAGGGGCAATGAAGTGAATGCAAACGACGTGCGGGAGCAGGAGCTGGGCGGGAGGAGTGAGGTGAGCGAGAAGGGCAGGCCTATGGGGAGCTGGCAAAGAGGCAGCCTCTCCCAGCGGGTAAGGACTTCTGGCCACACCCGGAGCGGGTCGGGGGGGGGGGGGGGCCGCAGTATGGAGTTGGCAGCAGGAGAGGCTGCTGCCCAACTGCAGCTCCCCGCAGCCGGCCAGGGCCAGGAAGGCCCTTTCTAGGGTTAGACACCCGGACATTCTTGCAAGCCGCGGAGCTTCCTCCCAGCCTGCTGGCTGCCGGTCCCGCGGGCCTAGAACCTCTCCCCGGTAATTGCTTTCCGTAATGTGTTTGCTCCAAACCAATTTCACGCCTCCGTGAGGACTCCGCCCTGCACTGGAGGCGCGGACCTCCCCACCACCAACCCACCCGCGTGTAACACGTGCTCACACACAGCACACATTTAACAGCAGATACACAGGGTTCGGGTACCTGGACACAACAGACATACACAAACTTACACGCGTGCATACTGGACCCTAAGATTCTCGTGTACTATCCTCATCCCAACCAGTGCACTCACCCAGCAGCGCCTCTTGCGTGCCTGTCCCTGGAGGCTACCCTGATCCTATTCCTTTGCCCTCGGGGCATCTCCCGGACTAGAGCGAGGAGGGGCTCTCGCGGTGGCGCAGTTGCACTCTGCTGCCACCAGAGGGTACTCGCGGACAGGGCCCAACGCTGCCCACCGTCAGTGGACTCTCCTGTCCCTGAGTGAGGCGGCAGTATCTGCTGGCTTTAACTTTTTAAATTTATTTTGTTAATTCTCATCAGAGGATATTTTTCCATTGATTTTTAGAGAGAGAGTGGAAGAGTCACTGGAATGGCTCAGTGGTTGAGCATCTACCTATGAACCAGGAGGTCATGGTTCGATTCCCAGTCCAGGCACATGCCTGGTTTGTGGGCTCAATCCCCAGTGTGGGGTATGCAGAAGGAGCCAATCCATGATTCTCTCATTGATGTTTCTATCTCTCTCTCCCTCTCCCTTCCTCTCTGAAATCAATAAAAATACAGTTTTAAAAAGAGAGTGGAAGGGAAGGGGAGTGACACACACACACACACACACACACACACACAAACATTGATGTGCGAGAGACACATACATTGTTTGCTTCCTGCAAGAGCCCTGACCAGCTGGAATCAGGCCAGATCAATCCTGCAACTGAAGTAGGTGTCCTTGACCAGAACAGAACCCGGGGCAACCCTTCAGTCCGAGGGCTGAGGCTCTATGCACTGAGCCAAACCAGATAAGGGCTGTTGGCTTTGACTTTAGAATACTGTGTTCATTCTTGGCATCCTAGGTTCTGACCTCTAATCAATGAAGGGGAGGCCAGATGATGCCCTCCAGCAGAGACTTGTACAAGAAGAGAGTGTGGATGCAAAATAAAATTCATCTACAGGAGCATCTCCCCAACAGATGGAATAGTGAGAGTGGGACACATCAGAGCACATGGACAATTAAAGAAGCACTTTTATTTTATTTTTTTAAATATATTTTATTGATTTTGTACAGAGAGGAGGGGAGAGAGATAGAGGGCTAGAAGCATCGATGAGAGAGAGTCATTGATCAGCTGCTTCCTGCACACCCCCTACTGGGGATATGCCCACAACCAAGGTACATGCCCTTGACCGGAATCGAACCCGGGACCCTTCAGTCCCCAAGCCAACGCTCTATCCATTGAGCCAAACCGGTCCGGCTAAAGAAGCACTTTTAGAGTAACATTTTAGACAGTGAGAGGAGGTGCTTACCCTCAAAGGATCCGTTCTGGGATTCCCGGGGAGAACCAGTTTTCTCTTGGTAAAGATTTGACAGCAATGGCTTCTGTCCTTGGTACTGATAGGAGAGCCACTGATTTGGGGACTTAATTATTTTCTTCTTCTTCTTCTTCTTCTTCTTCTTCTTCTTCTTCTTCTAGAATTAATGCATATATTTTATTTTCTATTTATTTTCTTTCTTTTGGGGGGAAGGGGGACTTTCATTCTTGACTACACTGCTCTTCTTGGTCCATTTACTAGTAGTCCAGGAAGAACTCATTTTGAAAGGTATTTCCTCATATTCACTTGATCCTTGCACCACCTCTTTGACTAATTCATTCTGTCCCACCAGAGAGTGACAGGCTTATTAAAGTGGTCCTTTACTGAAATGACTAGTGGGAGGGAGATGTCTGTGTGTGTGTGTGTGTGTGTGTGTGTGTGTGAAAATTATATATATCCTTTGAGCTTTTGGAACTTTGTGCTGATTTTATTACCTATGCAAAAATGAATGCAATTACTTTTTAAAATGGGTCTTCCTTCATGGTTTATTTGATTGGTATTGTTACTAATAGAGCTCTAGGTTCAGTTTGTAGCCCAAAAGTTCCCTCAATAATTTATCAGATCGATAAGCCTCTTATTGTGTATTCAGTACTCTAAAGCCATCAAACCAAGTACTGACCTCTATCTCACTTTTTAGTGCAATACACTTTACAGTCCAGTCTTCCATATTGGTACCATGAAGCACTTGGTTAATTTAACAAAGCATTCTGACAAATATTTTTAGAAGGATGTACAAGGATTATCCTTGTACTTTAGTGGTGAGTTGGGCTTCCCAGACTTAAGTTAAGCCACCTCTTTTTTTCTCCCTGGTAACATCTTCCCACCAGACTCATCTTAGAAGTTTCACTGAGTTCAATGTAGAGCCCACAAGCAGGACTGAATGGCAATCACACTCTTCTTCCTTTACCTCTCTGGTGAACTGTCAATCAAGTGTAACAAGAGAAAGCTCCCTTCTTGGGTCCCACCATCTCTGTCCCAGTCTGGTAACAGTGTCTTTCGGGGTGCTGAGTTTTAATGCATCAGCCTGACATTAGTGTTGTTCACGAAGCCAACACAACACTTCCGAACTGAACAAATGTCACGGAGACCCAGGGTTCCTTCCTGCCCTGCTCTGTTTGGGCTCAGAAACTCTGAGACTCTTTGGCATAAGTTTTCATCCTCACCTGAGCCAAGTCATCCTCCTAAACTTGTGAGGATTCGCTACTATTAACTTTAACTAGCTTGGCCCTCCCAGTGGCCAGATGACCCCATCTTAGCAGGCCAGGCTTGCTCTATGTACTGAAGCTCAGGGCACTCTTCTGTTGACTTGCTTCAAGCGAAAGTGCCCATGACTTTTGCCTCATAGACAACTCTTCCTCTGGGAATCAGAAGGAGGGGAGAGTAAAAGAGACCACCATTTCAGTATTTGAGAATGGGGAAAGGTGAGCAGAGTCATCAGCAATTAGCAGATAATTAACGCTGCTGACCCTTAGGGCTCATCAGCACGCCTGGGGCCAGCCCCCAGCAATCAGCCGGGGCAGGTCGATAGTGTCAGGCCCAGGAATGAATAGGCCTCATCAGCAGCGCTGGAGCCGGGGAGCCAATCAGGGAAATTAATAGTAAGAGAGGGAGGGGGAGGGAGGACGACAGAAAGACAGACAAGAGATACAGATACAGGGGAGAAATGAGGGGGGAGGATAGAAGAAGATGCACTGGGATAGGGAATGAGAAATAGTAATGATAAATAGGAGTAGGGATAGACTCAAGGGCAGGAAAGAGACGATTGGGAAAGGATGGGAGAAAGACGGAGGAGGAGGGGAGGGGAGAAGGATGCTAAGCACTTGGCATAGTGTGGGCCCCCAGGAAACCACCAAGAGGCCAGAGCGAGGGACTAAGGCACATGTGTCAAACACAAGGCCCGAGGGCCAAATCCGTCCCGCCAGGCCTTGCAATGTGGCCCGCACCACGCTGTCATCACTGCACTCCGCTGCCTTTCCATCACAATGACAGTTTATGACTGTTCAGTAAACCATTCGGCCCGCGATTTAGGCTGGATTTTAGATTTTGGCCCCTTCTCTGATTGAGTTCAACACCCCTAGTAAGGGAATCCACGCGGAGGAGGAAATGCGGATTCAAAGGAAGGAAGAGCCAATGCCGAGAGAGACCGGGGAGAGTGTGGATGGGCCTGGGAGGACGCGACCAACTGAGAAGGAAAAGGGCCAATGTGAGTGGCCCTGAGCCTAGGTGCGCCCCCTGCCGTCCCGCCCCACCGCCCGAGGGGGCGCCAAGGTCCTGTCTCGTCTGCCCCTCTGGGCTTGCTTTGGGAGCTGCAGGTCTTTGGCCCCAGGGGCTGGGACGCCGGGAGACTGGCTCGGGTCGGACAGAGGGCAGCAGCCTGGGCCGGGGTGGCTGGGGCAGGGGGCACTTTGGTCAGAGCCTGTCCCTCGTGGGGCGCCTTCCTCGCCGGCCGCCCGCGCCCAGTGCACACCCGGCCCATTGGACTAAGTCGGGGCGGGCTGGGTGGAAGGAGGGGCACTGGCCAACAGCTGCAGCCGTCTTCTCGTTGGCCGCAAACTTTCACAAAGCGGTGTGTCCCGACTCATCAATCTCCATTAATAATAGTTGGTTGGGCCGCGGGGGGCGGGCGGGTCGGGCCGCTGGGAACAGGCGCTGCTGAGGGAGCGGGCGGGCTCCGCGGCGGGCGGAGGGAGGAAGCGAAGCGTAATTTGAAGAAGATGGATGAGTCCGGAGGGCGACACCCCCAGCCCGCCCGCTCGCCCGCCCCCTCCCTCCTTATGAGAGAGAGGGAACGCGGCACGGGAGCCACACTGCGCTGAGCCCGAGCCTCGCGCCACCTCGGCCCGGGAGCCTGGAGCCAGCTCTGCGTGTCCGCTCGGGCGCCCGAGCCGCGGGGCGCACGGCGGTGCCCGGAGGGGAGTCCCCGGGGCGGCCACAGCCCCGGCGCCATGCAGAGAGCTGGAGGCGGAGGCGCCCCCGGGGGCAGTGGCGGGGGCCCGGGCACTGCCTTCTCCATCGACTCCCTGATCGGGCCACCGCCGCCACGCTCTGGCCACTTGCTCTACACCGGCTACCCCATGTTCATGCCCTACCGGCCCCTCGTGCTGCCGCAGGCGCTGGCCCCTGCGCCGCTCCCAACCGGCCTCCCACCTCTCGCCCCGCTGGCCTCCTTTGCCGGCCGCCTTACCAACACCTTCTGCGCCGGGCTGGGGCAGGCTGTGCCCTCGATGGTGGCGCTGACCACCGCGCTGCCCAGCTTTGCAGAGCCGCCGGACGCCTTCTACGGTCCCCCAGATCTCGCTGCTGCTGCTGCCGCTGCCGCTGCCGCCGCCGCCGCCGCCCGAAACAACCCTGAGACCGGCGGCCGACGCCCAGAGGGTGGGCTGGAAGCCGAGGAACTGCTGCCGGCTCGGGAGAAAGTGGCAGAGCCCCCACCGCCCCTGCCTCCGCACTTCTCAGAGACTTTCCCAAGTCTGCCGGGTAAGTGCTGGGGCTGGCCAGGGAGCCGAGCGGGAGGCTCCTTACCTGAAAATCCCAGACAGCAGGCTACTCCGAATGGGCACTTGCCTGGAGCCCTGGAATCCCAGACCCCCAAATGGCGGGTTCTGCGAACCACCTCCTGTTCCCTTCATACAGAGCACTTCTAAATCCCAGAATCGCAGCCCTGCTCTGTTTCCAAAGTGCCCGAAGCCTCGCCAAAGACTTCCAAATTAGTGTCTTTCCTTTCTGCATTCTAGTCCTCAAGCCTTGGCTCTCCTGCGTCTTCTTTTTAGACTCCCTTCATTTTTCTCAGATGCTGGGAATAGAGAAGCTGCCAGTGTGGGATTCCTGAGGACAGCAGCAAGACCCCAGGGTGAGGGCACATTGGGGCAGCTGTCAGTTAAGAAGAGGGCAGTTCTGGCTTCTGAGAAGGTTGTTTTGACCCTAAATGAGTTCTGTGGATGCAGGGGCAAAGGGAGGGTCTTAAAGTGGTGGTGTCTGTGTTGACCAATCTTCATCTTAGTAGGAGAGGTCATTTCTGAATTGGCAGATTTAGAGCTAAGCCCTAAATAACTGAGTAGAGGCCCTACAGAAATCTTAGCTAACAGGGGCTTTAGCACCTGCTGGACCAGGGCTGACTGGGATGCCAAGAGAGAGGCTGGGCTGGGCGCAGCCCAAAAGCCTGGAGTCAAAAATTCAACTAAGATTCTAGAACCGGGAGATTTAGCTAAGCCAATGCAGGAACACTGGACCCTCCATGGGAAGAGGATGCCCTCTAAATAGAGACAGGGTGAATTAAACTGAACCCTGTTTGGAATAGATCTATTTAGAAAGCTCCTGACTGCCTGTTTATTGATCCTTAACCCTTAGAAGCCAAAAAAGCTCCTCCCCATCCAGAGACAGATCCAGATGTGCTGACATCTAAAGCTTATACAGTTTGGTGGGCTCAGTTTAAGAAAAATAAGGGCCACATGCAAGTGCAAGGTTCCTGAATCTTAAACTTCTTTAGCATCAGGATGGACCTGCCTTTGCTTAACTGTTCATCGCAACCAGCTTAGCAGTGGAAGTGACCCCTGGAGGCATGGGGGCTGATTCTAGTGAAAACGGGGAGGAGATGCAATAGTCTTTTTGTCCTTTGCCAGGAGGAGGCAATTCCTGATAATAGGTTTCTGGGCTTTTTCTTGAAATTGACCTTTGAAGGCTATGGGAGCAGAGGAAGAACCAGACACACCTGGGGAAGAGATAAGCTGTGGGGAGGAGAAAGGAAGACACTTCAGTGCAGGAGAACTGAAGGGGAATATGCCCAAACCATGGAAGAACAAGAACAAGCAGCTTGTCCTGCTCTTTCAGGTTTCCCTCAGTTCTGATATTGAACCATTTGTAAAATGGGTGCTCTTTTCTGACGCAGATAGAATATTGGCTGTAAAACCAGACATTGAGAGAGAGAGAAAGGAGTAAGCAGAGGAAAAGAACAGAAGAGAAATATCGAGGAAGGAAGAATAAGGGAAAGGAACAACACCCAGATTATCCAAAGAGAGAATATTAGAAAGGAGAGAGCTATCTATTGGAAGAGATGGATACAAGGGATTTTTAGATGAAAAAGCAATATCTGGATCAGTGTATGGATCAGAAAGAGTTCTGTCTGAGAGGACTGGATGAGAGCTAAATACATATACAGGTAGGAAACGGGAAAGTTTCAACACTAGGAGTAATTTTTAAAAAGGTTTTTCAATAATAAAAGTAATGGGAAACTAGAATTTATATAAAGAGAATGATGTAGGAAAGATCATTATCTGAGGAAAATGTTGGAAGCAAAAAAAGAAACTTACTCTTAGGTAAATTTCTTTGCTAAGAATGATGTGAGGGACCTGGCTGGTTTGGCTCAGTGTATAGAGTATAGGCCTATGGACTGAAGGGTTCAGGGTTCAATCCCAATTGGGGCTCATGTAGGAGACAACCAATTGATGTGTCTCTCACATCGATGTTTCTCTCTCTCTCTCCCTCCCCCTCTCTCTCTCTCTCTCTCTCTCTCTCTCTCTCTCTCTCTCTCTCCTTCTCTCTGTCTCTCTGTCTCCCTCTCCCTCTCCCTCTCCCTCTCTCTCCTCTCCTCCCCCCTCTCTTTCTCCTCCACCCTTCCACTCTCTCTCAAAATCAATGGGGAAATATCCTCTGGTGAGGATTTTTTTTTAAATGAGGAGAGGAGTACTTACAGAGGAAGAATTTTGAGAGGTGCTGGAGTGAAGGTAATAATTCACATAGAGAAGAGATACAGAGAAAGGGTCTACAAGGGGGTTTTTGGGATAGAGTACTAAGGAGATATTTCAGAAGAAACATTCCAAGAAAATAATGAGTAAGAGATCTTATCTGTGACTGCTACTTCTTATCACTTTCAGTACAAACTTTCTAACTCCGCTCGCCATTCACACCCATCTTCACAGTTTTGTCCACCCCCCCCCCCAAAATAGTTGAGAAAATAAAAGGTAATTGCAGAAATGTTGGACATAAAATCATTTTGAGGAGTAATGATACATGGCCCATTGCAAAAGTGGTGGGAAAATAAATGCACCATTTTGAGAATTATATTTGAGTATTTTATGTGAGATAAGAGAGTTCTCTGCTTAAATAATGGGATTGGAACCTCAAAATTAGAAGAATTTAGAGAAAGAATTCTATCTTTAAAATGAAAAAGGAGGAGTTTCTGTTCTAGTATGAATAGGAGATATTGGTCTGAAATTATTAATTTACATTAGTTTAGTGTTTTACAATTACTAAATGAATTATAGTGAAGATAGGCCAATTTAGTGAATGATGAGTGAAGTGCCTTTTCTTGGGAATTAAAAGGACATTTAAAAAAAAATTTTTTTTTTTTTTTTTTATATTTTATTGATTTTATACAGAGAGAAAGGGAGAGAGATAGAGAGTTAGAAACATCGATGAGAGAGAGTCATCGATCAGCTGCCTCTTGCACACCCCCTACTGGGGATATGCCTGCAACCAAGGTACATGCCCTTGACCAGAATCGAACCCGGGTCCCTTCAGTCCCCAAGCCGACGCTCTATCCATTGAGCCAAACCGGTTTCGGCTAAAAAAAAATTTTTGTTGAGAGTTGAAACAGATAGCACCCTTCAAGAATTGATGAGGAAGAAACTTTGTTATGATTTGATTGCATGGGTAGAAGCTCTATTGTAGGCACCAAGAAATACTGTGTACAGAAATAATAGGGTAGAAAAGATAGTGATAATGGCAGATTGAAAATAATTCTAAGTTTGGCATATGGGGAGCAGTGAATGTAATTGGAGAAGGTGTGATACAAGAAGAGAGAATTTTTAATTAGTAGGAAAGATTTTAAAGTATGAATCAATAGAAAAGTCCAGAGTAGTGCTGTCTAGCAAGTCATTTATGTAATTAAAATTTTTTATTAGGCATGTTAGAAAGTATAAAGAAATAGGTGACATTAACTTTAATATTTTATTTAACCCAATATATTCAAAATATTATTTCAACATTAATCAATATAAAAATGTTTAATGGGATACTTTATATTCTCTTTTCATATTAAATCTTCAAAATCCAGTATGCATTTTACACTTCCAGTGCATCTTAATTCAGACTAGCCATGTTTCTAGCGGTCAGTAGCCTCACGTGACCAGTGGTGACCATATTCAACATAACAGATTTAGAGAATCGTAAGAACAATCATATGAACATGATGGGGGAAAAGGAGCTTTGAATTTCAGTGACTAGTGAAGTCATCCATGTTAGGAACAATGGAGTAAAGAGAGCTGTAAGCTCTACGTGTCAGGAAAAAGGAGAATTTTGCTTTGAATTGGATGGGCAGAGATGATCTTGGTTGTGAAGGTGTGTGTGAGCTATAGCTGAAAGAAATCTAAGCTAACTTGAAGATGAGTACAAACACACATCCCAGAGATTACAAGTGAGGAGAATGATGCGTGCTGGGGGAATGAAGAAAAAGAGCTGTCTGTTTGGAGAAATGCAGAAGAAAACTTTAAATTGGGGGTGTCTAGAGCAATGGTTTCTTCAGGGGAAAAATAATTAGATTATCTGAATACTTAAGAAGTGAGGTATGGTAGATAATCCACAAATAATTTTTGTATAGATGATAAAAATGTAGTAAGAGATTAATAGCAAAGATAGTTGAGTATGGTAAGAAAAAGAAAACATTTGTAGTTTAGATGATATAAAAAGAGAATGTGATGGGACAAACCTGAGAGAAAGCAATGTAGTGAACATTATATTTTAAAATTAAACAAAAGGATTTGCTAATTTCTGAATAGAGATTGTCAATAATAATAGAAATCATGCCAGAAGACCAGGAAACTTTTAGGAGCATGATACTGTATTTGAGTGCTGATTGCTGTAAGCTGATTGATTGTAGCTAGACTGTTTTACATGACCAACAGTTAATTTCCTTTTTAAAACTATATATTTTTAATTGATTTCAGAGAGGAAGGGAGAGAGAGATAGAAACATCAATGATGAGAGAGAATCATTGTTCCGCTCCTTCTGCACGTCCCACACTGGGGATTGAGCCCGCAACCCAGGCATGTACGGGAATCAAGCTGTGACCTCCCGGTTCATAAGTCAATGATCAGCCACTGTGCCACACCAGCCAGGTCATATTCAAAGTCTTATAATTTCTCTAGGCTTCTGTTTCTTCATCGATAGCATTAAAAGTCTTGGTTCACCCTGGCCGGTGTTGCTAAGTGGTTTGAGTATCAGCCTGAGCACCAAAGAGTCACAGGTTCAATTCCTGGTCAAGGGCACATACCTGGTTTGCAGCCCTGGCGTGGACAAGTGCAGGAGGCACCCAATCAATGTCTCTCTCTCTTTTCCTCTCCCTCTCCCTCTCCCTCTCCCCTGCTCTTCCCCTCCTCTCCCCCTCCTTTTCCTTCTCCCTTTCCCTTTCTCCTTTTCATTCTATCTAAAAATCAATGGAAAATATATCCTCAGGTAAGGAATAACAAAACAAAAAAAGTTTTGGTTCAGGTGATTTTTTAAAAATATGTTTTTATTAATTTCAGAGAGGAAAAGAGAGAAAGAAAGATCAATGTGAAAGAATCATTGATTGGCTGCCTCCTGCATGCCCCTTACTGGGATTGAGCCTGCAACTCAGGCATGTGACCTTGACTGGAATTAAACCTAGGGCCCTTCAGTCCACAGGCCAATGCTCTAATCACTGAGCCAAACTAGCCAGAGCTCTCATCCATGTTTCTATCTCTTCTCCCTCTCCCTTTCTCTCTGAAATCAATAAAAATATATTTCTTTTTTTTTTAAATATATTTTATTGATTTTGTACAGAGAGGAAGGGCGAGAGACAGAGAGTTAGAAACATCGATGAGAGAGAGTCATCGATCAGTTGCCTCTTGCACACCCCCTACTGGGGATATGCCCGCAACCAAGGTACATGCCCTTGACCAGAATCGAACCCGGGTCCCTTCAGTCCCCAAGCCGACGCTCTATCCATTGAGCTAAACCGGTCCCGGCTAAAATATATATTTCAAAAATTAAAAAAGAAACATGATTATATGACAAAATCACTTTAAATATTTGATAACTTGTTATATAATTTATTTGTAATGTAATCATATATGTTTTAAGTTAAATACCTAAAAGCATTATTCTGAGGAGTTTATAGGCTTTATCAGACTGCCAAAGAATTCATGGTACAAAAAAGGTTAAAAATCCCTTGCTGAAATTACAGCCGGGAGGGTAGGGATATATGGGGGAGATAAGAGATCAACCAAAGGATTTGTATGCATGCATATAAGCATAACCAATGGACGAAAAACTATGGGAAGGGAGGGCATGTATGAGAGTGGCGGGGGGGGGATTGGTAAGGTATGTACACATATAATACCTTAATTTAAAAAAATGAGGAAAAAAATAAAATAAAAAATAAAAAGACCAAAAAAAAATTTTTTTTAATTAAAAAATTAAAAAAAAAAAAAGAATCCCTAGTTCCCTAGCTGAGAGAGTGATCTAAAAAATGACAAGAGGAAAATTTTATTAGGGTTGGAATGGGATACTGGGATATCTTGTACCATGATGAAGGTAAACTGTGGGAGGAATGGAAGAGAGGAGAGATCTTTGCAGTGGCATATGTAAATAGGGAGATATTCCATATAATAAAAGCCTAATATGCTAAGTGACCAGTTGTCTGGTCAACCAATCAAAGTGAAATCTTTTTTTAATATATTTTATTGATTTTTTTACAGAGAGGAAGGGAGAGAGAGAGAGTTAGAAACGTTGAGGAGAGAGAAACCTCAACCAGCTGCCTCTTGCACACCCCCTACCGGGGATGTGGCCGCAACCAATGTACATGCCCTTGACCGGAATCAAACCTGGGACCTTTCAGTCCGCAGATCGACGCTCTACCACTGAGCCAAACTGGTTTCGGCTAAAGTGAAATCTTATCTAATAAAGAGGGGATATGCTAATTGACCCTTACACCATCATAAAGATTACGCCCACAGCTAATAAGGAGGGGATATGCTAATTGATTGCCACGCCCTCAAAAATGGCAGCGCCCAGTCCCCTCAGCCCTGCTGGGGCAGCAGGCATGTGACAAGGCCGGACTCTGGGTGGGCCTGGCCACTCCATGCACCTGCATCCAGAATTCCCCAGTCCTCTCAGCCCTCAAGCCGCCTAGGACTGGACTGAGGCAAAGGCAAGCCTCAGATGGCAGCTGCCCAGCTGCCCAGGACCACCTGAAACTAAGGTACCAGGGCCAGCTGAGGCTTGTGCTGCCTGCAGTGGCAGTAGCAGAGGTAACCTTCCCCTGATCACCAGGTCGCTTCCCACCCCTGAGGACTCCCCAACTGTGAGAGGGGGCTGAAGGACACCCCCTCCAGTGAATTTTCATGCACCAGGCCTCTAGTATGTTAATAATATGCTAAGACCACTCTACTGCTCTCTATGACATGCACTGACCACCAGGGGGCAGATGCTCTGACTGGTAGGTTAGCTTGCCACTGGGGTATAGCTGATCTGGACTGAGCAAGTCAGGCCAGACATGCCTTGGAGCCCTCCAGCAGTCCCTTTCCGGCTGGGCAACTTTCCACATCCCTTGCCCTGATGTGCATTGGGGGGGGGGGTCCCTTGGCCTAACCTGCATCCTCTCATAATCCAGGACTCCTTGGGGATGTTGGAGAGCAGGTTTCAGCCTGATCCTATAGGCCAACCTGAGGGACCCCACTGGTACATGAATTCATGCACTGAGCCTCTAGTAAAATGACTAGAGGCCCAGTCCATGAAATTAGTGCACTAGTGGGGTCCTTAGTGGCTACCAGCTGGGGCCTCCCTTCCCCTGACCCCCTGCCAGCACCACCAACTGGGGCCTCCCTCCCTTCCCCCAGCCTGCCTGCCCTCTGGTCAAACTCCTGGAAGAACTCTTGTTGAGGGACAATTTGCATACTATGCTTTTATTATATAGGATTAGGAGGATAGTTCTTAGAGTCATCAGCAAGAATAGTCTATACAGGGAACAATGGGAAAGAGACAATAATTAGATATGTTTTTATTGAATTTTTAGAGAGAGAAACATCGATGTGAGAAAAAAAACATTGATATGTTGCCTCTTGTGTATGCCTGACCAGGGACTGAACCTACAACCTAGGTGTGTGTCCTGACTAGGAAGCCAACCTGAAACCTTTGGCATATGGGATGACACTCCAACTGAGCCACTCAACCAGGGCAAATACTTAAATGGAAAGAAGGAAGAATAGAGTATGAGCAGTGCTTTGTACGGAGAATGATGTTTCATTGGGAAGCTAGGGAAGCATTTTGCCTTGCAAGTAACAGGGAAAGGATCTTTGTGGTGAAACTGATTGGGAATTAGGAAATAGAAATGTGAGAAGTAATGGAGTAGTTGTACAAAAAAGAGAGACACTTAAATAGGGATGATGAGGAGAGTTTGGTGGAAGAGAACTTTTATCTAGAGCACATGTGTCAAACACAAGGCCCGCGGGCCAAATCCGTCCCGCCAGGCCTTGCAATGTGGCCTGAACCGCGCTGTCATCACTGCACTCCGCTGCGTTTCCATCACAATGACAGTTTATGACTGTTCAGTAAACCATTCGGTCCGCGATTTAGGCTGGATTTTAGATTTTGGCCCCTTCTCTGATTGAGTTTGACACCCCTAATCTAGAGGAATGGGGAGATGCCCCATGTTGAGGCCAAAAAGAAGAAAGCTCATATCTGAACCAGTTGAAAGGACAGAGCTCTGTATGCAAGTGGTGGTACCAGAGCTTCAGTGGTCATGATGGGTACGAAAGAGATCTGGATTAAGAGTGGCAAAGAAGTTGGGATGTTTTATTGGAAATATGGTCACCCTGGGAGAAAGTGATCAGCTTAGAGTAATGTGAGATAAGTATTGATGTGCTAATTGGGAGAAAGAACGATAGAGAAAGGAGATGCTTGAATTCAGTGTGATAGAAGAATGACCTGCACAGGCAGGAATAAGTTGTATTAAGAAGAAACAATACTGTACAGCAAGTAATTTCTTTCATCTCGTGGAAGAGAAAGGAATAATCTCCAAGTGATGAAATGAAAAATCTGTATTAGAATCAGGAAGACTGCAGGGCAGAGACCGGGGCTCTGAGGAAAAAGCACTGAAACATGAGTGCAGGAGAAACAGGACAATATTATATTTTGGAACTGGGATAATAGTAGATGGACTTCTTGTCTGTGATTCCTGGGAAATGGTATTATAATAGAACAGAGAAGATGGAACTGGGAGCAATGGGAAGAGAAGTGATGCAGAGGTGTACTGGAGGGAGAGGAGGAGAAAATTATCTTGAGAGTGAAGATCAGAAGCACTGAGTGCTGGGCTGGGTGATAACTATTCTATAAGTTATAGCTAGATGTTAGAAGTATGTAAGTAATTGATCTTGGCCAAATCACATCTCTCTGTGTCTTAGCTTCCTCAGCAGTAAAATTAGGGATTGAATTAGGTGAGCTGTAAATCTACAATTCTGTTTTCATCTATGTGGATAACTTAATGATCTGTTTCCTTTAAGTAAAAAATTTAAAAAAATTTAAAAAAGGTCATCCTGAGCAAAGAGATTGTGTGAAATTCTATACTTCTCAGAGCTGAGTTGTTGTGGCAGCTGATGAGGAGGAGCAGGTTGGGATATATGTGTCCTGAGGTGAAATCAGGACTGGGCTTTAGGATAGAAAAGACATTGTCATCTGGGATCAAGGAGGTGTTAACTGAGCTGTGGCTGTGTACAGCCTTCAGATTAAATGAGATGGAGAAACATGTGATAAATGTGGGAGTTGATCTTATCCAGGCCAAAAAGACTGGGGATCAAGTGTGACCGACTTTATCTGGTGGGCAAGAGAGCAGTGCCCACCAGGGGGTGAGAAAAAAAGTTGTGTTGTGGCCGAAACCGGTTTGGTTCAATGGATAGAGCGTCGGTCTGCGGACTGAAAGGTCCCAGGTTCGATTCTGGTGAAGGGCATGTACATTGGTTGCGGGCACATCCCCAATAGGGGGTGTGCAGGAGGCAGCTGGTCAATGTTTCTCTCTCATCAATGTTTCTAGCTCTATGTCCCTCTCCCTTCCTCTCTGTAAAAAATCAATAAAATATATATATTTTTTAAAAAGTTGTGCTGAAACCGGTTTGGCTCAATCGGCCTGGGGACTAAAAAGTCCCGGGTTCGATTCCGGTCAAGGGCATGTACCTTGGTTGTGGGCACATCTCCAGAAGGGGTGTGCAAGAGGCAGCTGATCGATGATTCTCTCTCATCTATGTTTCTAACTCTCTATCCCTCTCTCTTCCTCTCTGTAAAACATCAATAAAATATATTTTTAAAAAGTTGTGTTGTGGAATCAGTTCCTGACCTTCTATATTATGTTTCCAATATTATGGTACAATATTTATGATAGGGTGACATTAGGAATCAGTCTCTTCACTCAGTGTTGAAGAGATGTGGTGTGGTGTAGAGGAAGAAGTACCAGAGTACCTTTGGATACAGATCTTTGTACCACCCTTTCTTTGTGACCTAAAGCAAAAAACTAACCTCTACAATCTGTTTACTCACCAGTAGAATTAGGGCAATAATACCTACCTCCCAGAATTAAGGACTAAACGAGGAGATATTTGTCTAGCATCCTAACATAATAGGTGTGCAAAAAATTATCAGTATTGTCCTTGTTCTGATGGATGGATGGGGTGCTTTCCTGGGAATTAAGTTGGGAAAGATATCTTCTATAGGAATTGTGTAGGATAGATGATACTCTCTCTACTGATAGGGACAAATATTTCTGGGAGTGATGATAGAAGTAGCACTGTATTCTGAGAATTATTCATTGGGGAATGCCGGGAGAGAACATTGTATGAATCTAATAGGAGTAGATTTTGTCTCTGGGCTTTTCTTCCTTTTTTTTTTAATTTAAATTTTTATGGAATTTATAAAAATGGTGACATTGGTTAATAAAATTATATAGGTTCCAGGTATATGATTTTATAATACACTAGAGGCCCAGTGCACAAAATTTGTGTACTGGGGGTATCCTCAACCCAGCCTGTACCCTCTCACAGTTCAGGAGCCCTTGGGGGATGTACGACTGATGGCTGAGTCCCTCTCCCCAGGAAAACATCCTTAGCACTGCTGCAGCGGTGGGAGAAGCTCCTCTCACTGCCACTGCGCTCCCAGCCATGAACCTGGCTTTGTCTGAGCAGCACTCCCCCTATGGGAGTGCACTTACCACCAGCGGGCAGCTCCTGCATTGAGCATCTGCCCCCTTGCATATTAGCCTTTAATTATACAGGATCATCCTATATATTGTATTGTGTTTTACTACCCTAAGTCATGCATTTCTCCATCACAATTTATCCCCCCTTTACCCTCTTTACCTTCCCCCATCCCCTTTCCTTCTGGTAATCACTGTACTGTTGTCTGTATCTATAAGGGTTTTGTTTTGTTGTTGTTTTGTTTGTTTGTTTGTTTAATCCCTCATCTTTTTCACCCAGACTCTCAATACCCCTCCCTTCTGATGGCTGTCAGTCTGTTCTCTGTATCTAATAAATCTGTTTCTATTTTATTTGTTAGTTTACTTGTTCATTAGATTTCACGTCAGTGAAATTATATATTTGTCTTCCTCTAATTGGCTTACATTGCTTAGCATATGCTCTTCAGGTCCTTCCATGCTGTCTCAAAGGGCAAGAGGTCCTTTTTATAGCTGCATAGTATTACATTGTATAAATGTACCACAGCTTTTTTATCCACTCATCAACTGATGGGCACTTGGGCTGCTTCCAGATCTTAGCTATTGTAAATTGTGCTGTTATGAACATAGGAATGCATATATTATTTTGAATTAATGTTTTGGGTTTCTTCAGATATATTCCCCAAAGTGGAATTTCTGGGTCTTTTGCTCCTTCTTTTTGGTTTCCTTGTCTCACATTTTGGCATCTGCTCTAGATTCCAAGGCTGCACAAAGCCTTTCTGTTGATTTCCACTGGCACCTATCCTTCCTTTCTCTCCAATAAAAACAAAAACAAAAATCTCCTTTTTTCTTCATCCAAATTCCTTTTCTCTCATGTCTGATCTCAACTTGATGTTAGGAGCAAAGCCAATGAATTAAAAATAATTCATACTCAAATGAACTAATGAGATTTTTAAAAATCCAAATGAATTTCAAACTGGTGGAATTTTAAGGGGTGGTATTATAAATGATTTCAGGTAATGTGGGAAAATGATTATTATTATCATTTATAATCCTCACCCAAGGACATTTTTCTATTGCTTTTAGATAGAGTGGAAGGGAGGAAAAGAGGGAAGGTGAGAGAAAGAGAGAGAAAGAAACATTGATGTGAGAGAGACGATCAATTGGTTGCCTCACAAACTCCCCCACTGACCATACAGGGGGCCGAACATGCAGTCCAGGTACATATCCTTGACCGGGAATCAAATCCTCAACCCTTCAGTTTGAGGCCTGGCACTCAGTTGTAAACTAACCACTGAGCACACCAGCCAGAGTGAAAAGTTATTTTTGTTGGGAATTTATGGGAGTGAGGTGGAGATGCATACTTTCCCTGGCGGGGAGGGGAGTAAGCTAGTTACAGAATTGTATGTAGTCAGAACTCTTTGAGTTGCTAGTGACAGCAGCTCAACTCTAATTTAAGCTAAAATGGGCAGTTATTGATTCA